AAACATAAAATGTTCATTTGAATTCACGCCACTGAATGGTTTATCAGACTAATCACTTCAAATGTTCATGTCTACAGAATGACCATCAAAAACAGTATTACAGCTTTTAGTGAAGTAGCTGTATTTGCTGGTAATATTTTTCTGTTCTACACTCCAAACACACAGCTTCTAAAGTGTAGTCGTTTTTTTCCAAAGCTCCACTTCTAGAACATGTTTGGATGGTTTAAAATATGCATAAAACATCATTTCCCACCTAATTGACTCAGTAAAATTTAATCTCATTAAGTACATTTTAAATATGTTTATGTATCATTTGAAGGTATTCCTATTTGTCCTACCTACATGAGAAGGTATATAAACATCCTCTCTCCAATTATATATGTACATATGGATTTCTGTGCCATTTCAAGCCCCATTAATTTTAGGTGGGCTCCAAAACCCCAATGCACAACAATACAGATACACCTGCAGGGAAATTAGAAGACTGGGCGCAGATGTCTGTGTTACAAGTGAGACTCCTATCAAGACAGACTACACTCCCTTTACCCTCAAACCATCCTTCTCTTGCTCCATAGCCCTGGAACTCAATAAGTGTCAGTATTTTTTAATTATTTGGGTAGGATTAATTAGCTTCTTCTTTATGTACCCGCATGATATATGCAGTATGTGGAATGGGAATTTTTTTTTTGGGGGGGGGAAAGGGGGAGGTTCTGCTCTAAAAGAATTAACTGTACTACATGATTGTCTAAAACTCAGCCAAGTAACATACAGTACAGACTGAAAAGTGAATCTCCATATAACCAGACTAGGCTTGTAAACTGAAAGATCCGTGATCTTAAAAGTCTTTTCCATTTGAGACTTTCTGTGATTTGTTTTAGTCTCATGCCATTCAAGAATGCATTGCTTCAATCTTCAATCACTTGATGTTCCTGCATAAAATAACATAGGATGTACAAGAGATACAGATGGTGCTTCTATTGCTTTGAAAAATGAACTAACTGAAAGAGAATACTGCAATTCTAGCTGTGAGTTCAGATAAATTAAACTCTGCTAATATCATTTAAATGTTTGTAATGACTTACTTAATACCAAACCTGACTTTCAAGGAAGAAAAACCAAACATTTTGTGTATGGACACTACCATTGTATTCTTCAAATCAGAAGAATACTACGGTAAGGGAGGGCAGGCATTAAAAGAGGAAAAGTTAGGGCAATTAATAGTAAGTTAGTTAAATTCAGGAGTGTCTTTAAGGCATCTCTGCAATCACAGCAGTGACATCTGTGCAAGTCTCCTGTTTTTCAGCACACCTGAGGCCTTTCTCCCTCAGTTTAGCAAATTAATTCCAGTGCAGAGACTTGCAGCTCATCTAATTTCTTCATAGCAGTACTTCCCCCCCCCCAGCCTCTCACCTTATTTTCTCTTCGTAGCAATGGAATATTTTGCTTATTATGTTCAAGTTAACTTGTACCTTTGTAGTCCACCGGGCAGGTTGCCAAAACCAAAAACTCCACCACACATTAAAAACAAACCAAACAACCAGACCAACAACTGAGACAGTACAGCAGTAAGGAACAGCATGGACCTCTCAGACCCAGCACCAGACCTGCTCCATACCATACCTTCTTTTTCTGCAACTCATCCTCCTCAAGTAACTGCTTTATGTTTCCTAGTGAAAGAGAAGGACTACACGGTGAACCCTATCTGTTCTTCTTCCTCACTCTGAATTACTAAAATTCTAAATTGTATCTGAAACAAATTGGTCCTATCCTATCTGCAGCTAGAAAAAGCTGACAAAGGACAAGATGCTGTTACACTAAGTCTTGTTTGAAACATGGTGCCTGCAGTGATGACAGGAGATTTAATATTCTTTCCAATATTTATTAGCATTAACTATAAGTTTGGACAGTCCTGTATCTGCCAACAATATGTCTTGCCAGCTTCAGTTCAGCGACTCTCAGAAATATTATGTTAGTGTAAGTACACAATATACAAAGATGCCTTTTTTTTTCCCCTCTCCATCAACTCTGCAGCTGCCATCTTTTAATACCACCAAACGTCTTATTGCTTTGTTCTGGAATAACAACATATACTGCCCATATACTTCAGTATCCTGCATTTCCTACCTGGGATGAGAAGAGCTCCTAAGCTTTTCTTGTTTGAAGCACATTCACCTTTCCAAGGGCTTCTGGGCACCTCTGTAGTCTGTATCTCATTATCCCTCAGTACTGAACACTGTAGGCGGCTACAGAATAGGTGGTACTTTTTGCATGCATTACATTTTTAATCAGACTCTTCAGTTCTACGCTCAGTTACTTGAGAAATCTGCCACATATGTCTTCTGCCATGACTTACAAAAGAAGCACATATTCCAAGTGTAGATAATAACTGTACCATTTAAATGATAATACCAATATGTTTTGTATAGGGAGGAGATTCATGCAGGGCACTTCCACCACGAACAGCTCTTTCACGGGGCTATCTATCCTCACACCAGATGTCAAATACAAAAAGACATACTTTGGCATGAATAACAAAGTTCGTTTGACTGAAGGATTTACCTCCTAGGAACAAGAGCCTCATAAAAGATAAACACTGGGAGCAAACTGAGCCTCGTAAGGGCTTTTGCAAAAATTAAACCCATAACTTACCACTAGAAATGGGATATTTCATCTGTTCAATAAGCACTAAAGTTCTTTTTGTTTTTATGGCATCGTAATCTTTGATTACTCTGATAAATATTTGGACTAGACAAAACATTGTGATGGAACTAATCACAGTTATAAAAGAACTATGTCTGAAAATGAATTTGAAATGCCGTGATATCAGCACATTTTATACAAGTTCAAATACAGAACCACATTATTTAAACTGGCTCCTGGCACCATTGTTTCATGTCTCCATCTAGTCATCTATACCTGAGAAAAATAATTGCCATGCTTGCTGGCTTTGCACCAGCATGAAAAGATGACTGTAGCAGACATGGAGTACTAGCTCTCTGCATAACTGGATAAACCCAAAACACACAACTGAGTAGTGCAAATTTTAGCCAAAAAAAAAAAAAAAAGCAATCCTGCACCAAGGGTTAGGTCTCTCTATGGTGAAGCCTAGCTAGAGAATTAATGCTCTCATATGCATCATCAAAAAAAAACATACCAAACATCTTCTGTCCCAAGGAGATCCTTCCCTCCTTGTCCCTTCAACTCACCTGCTGTGTCTCGTCCCTGTTTTGGTTTTGCTCAGGAAACAGACCAGTGCACAGCACTGAACAAACTGCTGGCAGATTATGTACAGAACCTTACTCCACTCTTAGATTAAAATTACAACTCTAAGGTTGTGAAAAGGCTCAGTGCACTAGGAAACTGTGCAGACATGTCAAGGCAATTCAGTGCTACTTATTCTTTTACAGTAGGAGGGGGAATCCCTTTATCAGTCTGAGCACCATGCACCGTTCAGATCGTAGGGGCCAACATTCTGCCCACAGTTCAGCTGGAGAAGATCTGTAGTCAAAAAGAGCAGCTCAAGAAGCAAAACCTGGAACTGCTTTTTAATCACTTAATATAATTGGGGGCTACATGAATGCTTTCAAAAGCAAAATGCTTTTCTCTACCTTATAGTCTGAGCTGATGCAATAATGTAAATAAAGTTCAAGTACAAATCATGTCCAGGAACGTTAGCCCAGTGATGAAAGTCACGTTTAGTACAGCAACAGCAACATTTATGAAGAGGTAATGAGAATGTATTTGAAGCAATGGGCTGCATCTTTATATCACTGATGCAACGCTGTCATGTACTGTCACATATTTCTAACATATTACTTCTAACAGCTGAAGTCTGCATTTGTTTCTAGTTGACTAAACCCAGAATAACTGAACCAAAGCCAGATGCCGCTGATTAGAACAAAGAATGGGAATTTTCACTTAGCATTTATATAGTCCTTTTCATCTTCAGAGAGCATCACAAACATAGCTCTCTCACAATAACCTTCATGCTAACCTTCTGAGATAAAAGTAATATAGTACAGGAAAAAAACACCTGAAAAGATATGTAATCAAGCATGCACAAAGCCTCAGATCTGTAAACTGTCCTGGCCTCTATCTCTGCCTAATGGTAGATCGTACTTCATCAAGAATATAAGGCCTTTCACCATGGCTTGGGAGTTAATTCACCATACAATGCATTTTACTAACATTATGTGATGGTAATAGTCCTTGAATAATAGATTTTCTACTGTAGCTATAGGATAGAGCGATTCCTTTTCAGCAGATAAGGAGCTTGAAATAAAAGCGCGTTAAAAACATGCTGAAAACTGTTACAAAGCAAGCCAGGGACACATCTAGGTTGGATGTTAGAATTCTGTAGTTTCAATTCCTACTCTTCAGTCATTTGGGGATTTCTTTTTTTAACTCCTAATTCAGATTAGGAATTTCATAAGACTTTTAGAAAGCTTTCTCTAAAGCAGCAGAAGCTTCCTTTATACATCAGTTCTCTCTCCCTCAACACAGACTTGCTATTCTGGTTATCAGTTTAAGTGTCTCTAAGCCCAGAATCTTGAATAAGTTCCTTATGTTCCAATTGCTTGCACACTTTACGGACAAATAGATTGAAGCAGACGGTACTCATTTTCATGGTGACCCAGAACAGTTATTGTTACAAGAACACCTTTTAATCTCCAGTGTCTGCTTTTGAATCGAATTCAAGTGGGGAGAGATGAAAGAAAGCATCTCAGAAATCTGTTACTACAGCTGGTACTTCTTAGTTTATCATATGCTAGCTTTAATTCTCTTTGATTCTTCCTAGAATTATTGCTTCTATTTCTTAATTTGACAACCCGGCATTTGTTGCTATTTTTTGACTGTGAAAAATCCCTCCCCTCCTAGTTCTGTACAGCATCTTCCTCGGGGAAAAAATAAAGTTAACTTCTCTCTTGGTAAGGTTTCTTATAGTGCAAAAACAAGCAGATAAATAACATTCATTGCTTACGCTTAAGGGAAAGACTTACAAAATAAACTGAAGAGTGAAAGAAGGATAAGAGTCATGCTGATATGAAGGGCATCACTTGCGCTGCAGTCCATTCTGGATTTCTTGCAGGAACACACTTGTAATTTCAGTTCTGTGTTGTTAGTCAGAGGTGGTTTTCCAGAATCTGTCACTGAGATTGGGATGTTGTAATTGGCCTTTTTCAGGTTTTGAAGCAGGACAACCTGGGCATGAGTATCTGCAAAGGATAAGGAGGTGAGAAATAGCCAAACAGTGGGCATTTGGATAAGAAGCAGCATTTGTAAACAGTATCAGACATGCCACAGTTACTCATGGAAATTAAGAGGAAAATGAGTACTCTAAGGAAAGATTAGAAAATTGAATTGCATAGGAAGTAAGAACAGGCAGTCACAGAAATTCTTGCAGGGGTTTAGAACTCACTGCAAACATATTCCAAACCCCATCAAAAGAAGGACTTTCAAGAGTCCCTTTTGTTTAAATACATTATTTGGTCTGCAGATTACTGGCAGAAATTACTGTAGAAACAAATATACTAATGAAATGCTAAGGCATGTCATGCCCAAAGCCCAAAAGAGGGAAGAATTTATCTATTTGCCAAAGGAAAAATCCCTTCTTGGAAGGGAACACAGGTGAAGCTGTTTAATTGCTTCCCCAGTTCAACTGAAAAGGCAGTGAAGGAAAGTAATGCACCTTCAGATCCACAGATCTGCTGCCCAGGTGAGTGTGCAGAGGCAGAAGTGAAATGCGTGAAAAATAAAAGTAAAGGACTTACTGTTAAGCTTTGTGATTCTCCACAACTTTTCTGGGCCAGATTGCTTACTCAGTTCAAATTTAAATGGATCTGTGTTGGGATGGAGATCTTTGTCTGATGCTCCTAGTACCACTACTCTGAGATCTTTAGCGTCATCACAGACTTTTGCCAGTGTTGGGTAAAGGGATGGGACATTGTCATTGACGTCCTCCAAGGTGATGTGTAAAGTTCCTGTACCTGTAGCAGGAGGGTTACCTATATGAAGAACAAACAAGAGTTTATTAAATCATCCTTCCGTGAACATTTATCATATTTGTACCTGCATGGATGCCGAGGAAAATAAATTTTATACATCTTTCTTCTGTCACATGAGAATTATTGCTTTTAAAATTGAAGAGTTAATGTTGTAAATTGCTGCTATATTTTCAAAATGCAGTCTGTCTGTTTCTCCACAGCATGGATAATTTTTCTACGAAGAGTATTCTGAAGTCAAAATGAGATTAGGACATGAATAGATATCTGGAACAATCTGTTCATAAATGCATACTGAGAGAATCATAGTGGGAAATATCTCCTGCATAGACAGTGTGGTATTAAAAGAACTAAAGACGAGGCAAATAGGAGGAAAAATGACAGAAGTGGTGAGTCAGTCTGTATAGTGGGACTCTATATAAGTAGAACAGGAGCAGATTGTTCCTCAGTAACCCTCACCCAGGCCCCCATTTAGTCACGTTAGCAGAAGTGGAACCTACCAGCACGCAACTGCAGAAAATGTGATTTTTTGTTTACCCTGAGCCACCCTGTGTTAGCGGTAGAGTTTCAAGCTTTCTCAGATTATCTGCCAGCCTGTCTCAGCCATGACCTGTAGGAGCCAGCTTCAGAGGTGAGGCTGCTCTTTACCCACCATGATACACTACGAGCATTGCCAGGCTGTGACTGGCAAACCAGCTGTGGCACTGGCAGTGTTTGCAGAAGGGACAGCTGCCCACTGGGAGCCAAACTGATGCTAGCACCTCATTTCAGAGAGGTCAGAGAGGATCTGACAAGTACTAATAGCTTTCAGTCACTACAGGTGTGTGCCATAGCTGAGCCAGTAACCTACTGCTTCCACTCTAAAGCTCAGCATCTTATTACAGATCCCCTCGCAGATCATTTTGACAGATCTCAGTTTTTTCTAAATGCACATTTCTTCCTGCATTGTTTACCATATTTAATAATTTCCCATTTGAAATGCTGCACTTACTGAAGGGTCATTTTGTGATGCTCATTTTGCTGGCTTAGAACACGCCATCTATGATCTCTGCACTTCCCACAGCTGTAAACCCTCAGCTGGTAGAAAGAATTGAACCTGTTGTACTTAACCTGTAAAGCACCAGTGCAGTGTGTCATGGTAGTTTGACGTTTAGCACTTTCATGTGCAGCCCAATGAACTACGGAATTACTCCTGCACACCTAAAGTGCCTCCTAAGAGAGAAGTAAATACCTTGTGGTCTGGATCTGATAAACTACTAACTGGAACAGAATGCAATTAGTCCTTTCAATAACAAATGATACTAATGGTGACACTTCATCTGTTTCATGCACACATAAATGCATAACAAAAGGCAGAATTTTGATAGTTCTTTAGCTTTCCCCCTCACTCATCTCTCACTTTGTCATCGGGAGGGTTAGGGTTGAGTTCTTTTTAATGAAAAAGAAATTATTTTTCACTTTTTATTGGACTAATTGAATTTGCAGAAAGGCTCCAATACATTTTTTGTTCTTGATATATTATTAAGTAAAGTCATACAGCAGAATGGATGAAAAGACATTCGAGTATTTGAAATATGATCATAAAAGCCAGCCTTTCATGCGCTTAATTAAACTGCTGTCTTTAATTTTGAATGCATTATTTCCACAGTGGACTGATAATGTCGTATGCACTGTCCTTCTTATCTTTCTCTGAAGTCAGTAATATTAAAATCCGCCTTTTGAAATTAAGAAGCCAACAGCATTATGAATGTACTGTTATTTTGTCAAATGCAGATACGCCTGCATTTTCTCTGCCACGTTAATGTTTCCCTATCTTCATATGGCTCATGGGCCAGTCAACTATTCTGCACAAATAAGGAGGAAGGAAATTACTTCTGTCCGTTTCAATGACTTATTCTCTGGCTGTTTTATTTCTAATGATTTAAACAAAATCTTTTGGTGATTTATGAAGACTTCCAAAAGAAAAATAAGCAAATGTCAGGGTCGTAAGCTGACGCTTGTTAACACACGTCATAAAAAATGCAACAAAAAAAAAAACGAATCAAGGAAATACAGTCACAGTATTCCACTGGGAATATATGACTTTTATAAATGTGACAGTGTTATGCTTTTGAAATAAGAAACACTCAAAAGTCCCATGATCTCTAGACAGCTCTAGTTTTGAAATGAAAGATTTCTTCAGCATATTTCAATCCTGAAATAGAACTAATTCTCATTGTAAAACTTTGCAGCTGAAAGGAGAATTAATGGGTAAACCAAGACACAAAGGGCTCAGTCCAGTAACCCTCGGGAATATCTTTTCAGAAGAGCTTGGTTCCCATTTTGTCACTGAACTGGTCATCCTGATGAAAATGAATACTTGGAACTTTGAAGTACTTAAGAGTCTTTTGGAACAGAGAAAATTTCAAACTCCTGCTATGCATTCCACAAGTGGAATAGCTGTAGATATACTATGGCATACATATGAATGAAATGTCATCACATTACTCATTACTCACATGTAAAAGCTGCTAAAACAGACTGCAGGATAACTAATTTCACAATGGAAGAAAATCAGCACTCACTATTGAATCCTAATTTTAATAATCTAGGTCAAAAATGAGATCTTTAATGAATAATCTTGAGGTGGTGATGTAAGAGCTTCCAAGTTTGTTAACGTCTGTGGGACTAAAAATCTGATTGCCAACACTAAAAACGTACAGATTCATTTTAGATTGTGATGCAATTGGAAATTCATGTTACAGTTATTTGAATTGCACTGGGACTGTTAATTTCTTCATCTCCTAGCATTAGGCCACACAAAAATCTGATAGCAGTCCTCAGGCAATAGCTAGTAATGCTGTAAGATGCAACAAGGAAAAAACTGACTAACATAAAAGTAGTTCTATTTCAAGAGTTAGAGACCAGCATAGGATATGATGGGATCTATTGTCTGTGACCTGGAATCTGTAATGCAAAAGACTGTTACCAGAGGATGTCAATGTTAAACTGGATTTCAGTATTAACAGCATAAATGGCCATACTGCAACTTCATTTTAAAAAAAAATAGTATCAAAAGAAATGGTACACTTCTGTAATTCTACGTACTTGTATCATAATGAAGAGCTGCACAGAATCACATTAGGATTATCAGTAATGTCTTAAATTATAAGCACTCTGAAGAAAAACCTGGTCAAGAAATTTGAAAACTGAAATTCAGTTTTGCTCCAGAAAGTTCCCATAGGAACAATGATGGCATTTAGACATCTAACTACTCAAGTGAGACTGCAAATCAGGCAGTCAGATTCTTAAAATATACCAATTATGGACAATGATGACCATGGATTAAGATGACATTTCTCTTAAGTATCAAGACTTGCACAAAATGGCATGTCTAACAAGCAATTGTGGTTGAATGGCTGATGATGCATTTAATCTGAGCATAACATTTTTATGGACATACAGAGCCATTTCATGTTCCCCCTTTTTAGTTTCTAAACAGAAATGTGATGCTGTGTACAGATTCCTAATACTGCCGAGCTGTGATTCATGGAATTAAAACCAATATTCATACTGATTGGAAACTGAATTAAGAAATTCTTTATCAGCGTACCTTTCAATACCAACTACTTTCATGTATTTGAAGTGGGAGCAGAGACACAGAGTTGGTTAACACCACACAAAGGTGACTTTCTTACCGTGGCAGACATACCTGAAACCAAATACCACTAACAGTGAAAGTCAAGGACTTCATTTTGGGGCCATCCGAAGGAAAAGTCAGGAAGCGACTGCAGGTTGCCTGCAGAGAATCCTATTTTATGGCACTGTGTAAACGCCTGCGTTTCTACCAGGTCTTCCTGCACTTAGCATCATAAAAGATCACACACTGCATTAATAAGGTCCACAGTCATGTTTAATTGTCTCACCACATTTCATGGAGACAGATTTGTGGAAGCATTCAAATAGGCAGTGAAGATGCTAATAACTACAAAGCATCAAATTACTGATGTGAAAGTTGGCTTTACGTGATGGCAATTCAAAATGGAGACTTTCCTTGGACCGCTTTGACTTCATACAGTTGTTTCACTGTTTGGGGAATTTACTACTTGCTGCCCCAGCATCTGGGCCACATCAGTCTGCTGATGCAGGACACGCAGTAGATAAACGTGGTCATGCATCTGCACTAAGTTGCCAGCCTGTACTCCCAGAAACAAGTGAGAAATATTGCTCTAAATTGGCTGATTATTTTCAAGATGGAAAGTGCTGTTTACATGCATCAGAAAGAAGAAAAAAAAGTCATGAAGACTTGGTCTTCTTCTTGCAGCTTTCCTTATCCAATTTTCAAATACCAAGAAATATAGATTATATTATCCTAACTGCGTTTTACAAACATTCAAAACACATTTAGAGAATGAACATTTTTTGACATTTGAGATTGCAGTGAGTTTAGATTATCCCTGAAAATGAGAAATGGGTATTCCTTAAATGTTCTTGAGAATATATCCAGGTAAAACAACTACTTGAACACCGATACTTAGAAGGATAATCTTTAGTCCACAAGCCCCTGAAAAATTTAAACCAGTATTTCCCATCCTGCCTTGAGCTTTCTGAGTTCTGTGTTTAGGTTTTTTTTTTTTTTTTTTGGCAAGTCCAACATACACACATATATATAGTTCTTTTTTATTATTATTATTTGTAGATTTAAAGAATTTTATAAGCTAAAAAAATGGAGAATAATATTTTTTAGCTCATTGGAATTCGTTTAATTTAGGAAAACCTCTCTCGTTTAACTCTTTCTGTTATGACACCAAACTCGACTTGATCTAAACCAGAACAAGTTGCACAAGGACGAAGGAAGTATTATCAAACACACACAAAAAAACTTGTCCATGTGCAATGTGAAAATGAGCTTTGACTAAATTAGATGAAAGTCAATTTACTTGTAAATAATATGATTTGTTTAGTGGCACAGCTAAGGAACAAAGGAGTGTTAATTAACTAACAAGAAAAACCCCAGACACAAA